TAAATTCGCTCACTTTTGTAATTTTCACCTCGTTTCAAAATACAGAATCGACCCCCAGGGTATTAATCATGAAACTTTATCCCTAGGATGGAAAGTGAAAAGTGAAAATTTTAACCATTGAAGTTAATGGAAAAATTTTTTACTTTTTACTTTTCATCCTAAGAAAAAAGTTTCATGATTAATACTTAGATCTACAATAGATGTTTTAAACCTTAAGCCGTAAGAATTTGACCAATTACAGTCGAATGCGAGGAGAATAATTGACTGTAATTCGTCCATTTTTTATGGCTTAAAGCTTAAAAACCTATTGTAGATCTGGACTAATCCGTTCTTATTGCAAGGTCGTCTTAAGATACTAATACGGCCCTCTGATTGGTTCGTGACATCTTAAGACTGTGCTTAAGACGGCCTTGGATCTTCTAAAGGCCCGTCTACAATACACGGAGTAAAAAGTAAGAGTAGGAAATTGACCAATCACAGTCGATTATTCTTCTCACATTCGACTGTGATTGGTCAATTTCTTACTCTTACTTCTTACTCCGTGTATTGTAGACGGACCTTCACATTCGACTGTGATTGGTCAATTTCTTACTCTTACTTCTTACTCCGTGTATTGTAGACGACGCCTTAAGGTAAATTTTCACGAGCTGCTCAAACCGGCTGTTTCAGCGACAAAATGAATCACGTGATCATAATTGACGAATATTAAGCGTCCATTTTGATCATGTTATCCTTTTTGTCGCTGAAACAGCCGGTTTGAGCAGCTCGTGAAAATTTACCTTTATGCATTTCATGTGCGATAGGCTTTACTATTGTGCATTCGAAGTTCGGTAGTTTACGTTCACATTTTTCGTAGATTTTTTTCGAAGTTCGAACCTCGATTCCTCAATCCTCGAATGTCCTCGATACCGGGCAATACCGGGATTACCGGGTGACGAGTTGACGAGCATGTGCTTTATGATTGGTTATGTTATGATGACTATGATAGAATAGGCTAGATTCTAGAATAGACATGCAATACACGTGATTGCAACTCACGTTGTAATTAACGACAGTCACGAATAGGATGTATATTGAATTATATATTCTAAATTAGCGTTGTTAATGATCGTTAATCGCAATGCAATCAGTAACGATACTCCAGCGGGTCCTGTCTGCTAAAACGGCGCCCTGCTTGACTCGTTTGTTATTCTTGAGACAGGTGAACAAATACTCTGACTCCGCTGCCACGAAAAACGACAGTAGCAATACATCGAATATTGGCGAATCACAAAATGAACGTGTCGCAAGCGATGTTGAATCTTCCTTAGGCGAGGAGAACGTTTCTCGCCTTCTGAAGGAAGCTGCTTCTTACAGCGATGCCAAAGATAAAAATTGGACAACGAGCCCTTATCCGGCCGATGCTCCTACCTCAGTCGAAGAAGAAGTTGTCAAGCCGAAGATTGATCCATTGGACACTTGCATTGTGCTTTTTCCAGGACAGGGTACCATAAAAGTTGGCATGGTTCAGAAATACTTGCGCTTTCCACAGGCAAGAGAATTATTCGAGATAGCCAACGAGATTCTGGGATATGATCTGCTGAAACTCTGCCTAAGAGGTCCACAAGAAAAGCTGAATCAGACTTGCTTTAATCAGCCGGCCACAGTGGTAAGTTCGCTGGCTGCACTGGAGCAACTCCGTGAGGAAAGGCCCAGGGTATTCGAAACATGTAAAGCAGCCGTGGGCTATAGTGTAGGGGAACTGACCGCCCTGATCTTCTCAGGCGCTTTGTCCTTCGAGAATGGCATCAGACTGGTCTCTGTGAGAGGCGCTGCAATGCAGTACGCTTCTAACAAATGTCCTCAAGGAATGCTATCGGTCCAGTGTTCTCCACAAGCTTCATTATCACAGGCGTGCAAGGATGCCGAGAAGTGGGCACAAGATTGCGGTGTAGAGATACCAGTTTGTCAGTAAGAATCATTTCAACCATTCCTGTACTAAGCTTTGTCTAGGCCAAGAAATTTTCTCCTTGATATTCTAGATAACAAAAATGTAGCAATCAAATGTGGATAACAATTTTAATAATTCTTTGAAAAAACTTTGGCACATGAGTCTAGATTCTTTGTAAGATAGAGAAATTTTATAAATATCGACATTTGAGTGTATACATCTGAAATGATTGGTATATATCGAGTGTTTTGATATTTATATAAATATCATATTTTTGAATCCTGTGAAAATGTCACAACTCTGAAATAAAACTGTTAAAGTTGCAGTGTTTGGATTTTTACAAAATCATGATATAGTTCTAAAGAATTTCAATAACTATTATTTTTATTATTGGATTTGTACTCAACATATTATGTTCGACAATAACGACAGTGTCATTTCTTTTTATATTCATATATTAACAATACTAATTACTGATATTCCTTCAAGTTTTATCGCCTAGAGATCATAAACATAAACTTGTAAGCAATACTGGATGCTTTCCAGCAAGAGACATAAATGAAATAGTGTAACATAGTAAATCATTACTGCTGCATCAATTCTTGCTATTTGCCAGTGTTAAACAAAGTGATTACTGTGTCTCTTATTGGAAAGCACTAACTGTCATTTGATCTGTCATATTATCCACATTTTCAATATTTGTCGATAACTATGTATCCAATAAAATGTGTCGTACAAATATATCCCATAATTTCCTGAATTTAAAATTAAATTTTGTTGAATACATTGTCGGCAATACATTTTTCTAACAATATTCTGTTTGGTCTGGACAAGACTTTATATGCTCCTATTACATACATTGTAATTAAATTCAATTATTAATTTTTTAAATTTAAAGTAATTTATAATAAACATATATAGAAGTATGATGTTATGTTAGATATTATGAAAAGAATTATTGTAGGGTAGCAGTATATTTGTACACTCAATCGAAGATCTTGGCTGGGAATACTCAGGCTCTTGAGTACATAGAAGAGAACGCGAAAAAGTACGGACTTTTCAAGTTAACCAGGCTGCCGGTGTCGGGCGCATTCCATACAACATTGATGGAACCAGCGCTCAAGTCCTTTGGCAAGATGCTCCACACGTTAGAATTCGATGATTTCAGATGTCACGTCTATTCCAATTACAAGGCGCATCCGTACGGCAATACGGCATTAATTAGGAAATACTTGCCAAAACAAATTATGTCGTCTGTGAAGTGGGAGCAGTGCATACAGCTGTTGTACAACAGACCCCCGGGAACTGCCTTCCCGCGAACTTTCGATGTAGGATCAGGAGGAAGAATGTCAACGATCTTGAAGTTAATTAATTCAAAGGCACACCAACACTGTATAGCCGTCTAAGCACTTTTATATTTCTTGATAATACCAAAAGAAAGTCTGAACATTTGACATTATTTTGTACATACTTGTTGATTAGCTTTATTATTCCAACTGTGACATGAGAAAATAAAGAGGATCAATGTTATATTAGATACGAAAATTGTGTATATTGTTCTGTTAATAGAAAAGTGACACATCTAAAAATTAGATATTTTTTAATATTTTTGAAATTTTGAGTTGGACGTTTTACTCTCTTAGGGGATAGTGAATGTGCATAACTTCACTTACTTTCCATGTTATATTTTTAGTTATAATGATAATGTATTCTTTGTAACTGTCATGAGTTCTTTAAAATTCGAATACTGCAACTCTATAGCGTTTTCCACTGGAAAAACTGGAGAAAAAGATTGTAATTTTGCTACATTATATATTATAGCATTATAAGTATGCATACTTATTTGTAAAGTATTTATATAACAAAAAATTACGAATTAAGGGGGAAATACATTTTGACCAACCTGAAAAAATAAAGATTTTTTTAACATGGATTGCGGGAAAAGTATAAATACGATCCACTTCTAATTTGGCACTTTATTAATACATATATTGAACTTGTTATGTCGCAAATTTTATTAAGAAATATCTTCCGAGGAAATGTATCAATCCGCGTAAAACGTGATTGTGCATCGGTAAACGGTGTACGTACATGATTCCGTCATTTTGGTTATCCTAAAAAAAAATCCAAATAGTTTCACAAATTATAATGTACTCCTTATCGTCTGACCGAGCTTTTTACCATTTTATTTAAATTGACGGAAATAAACATATTCGAATTTTTGACACATTTTTTGATATTATAAATGTTATTATATTTAAAAATGTTATAAACAAACTCGTCGGTCAGACGAAAACTACTGGTTTCTTGAATATATGTTTCAAATTGCAAGTCAATCTGTTAATAGCCTGAGAAATTATATATACCGTTTCAAAAAACATGGTTTCGAAATAAACACGTTTAAAGTTTGACTTAATATCGTACAGTTTTTTGCATCTTATCGCTAATCGTCCATTTCTGCTTCATCGAAAGAATCTTCCTGCTCATCCGAGGCTACTTTATCCCTCTGTCGTTTAATTCGACCTTTAGATGCCGCAACCATCTTCGCCTCGCTTTGGGACACTCGTGTCGTGTCAAGTTGTTCACATATTACAGCCGCATTTGTTCCAATTGTCAGATTTAGCATAGCCATCATTAAAAGAATACTTTTATAGCCTTTATTGAAAATATTTGCCGCAATATACGTGGCAATTTTAAGAATTTTCTTGCCACTAAATATTTGTTTAGGCGCAATCGACCAAATAAGCGAATTAATGCTCTCGTTATTTATATTTTGTGTAAAACATTCTTTTTTTGTAATTCTAACATCTTCACCATAAGGTTGCGATTCAACAATGCCTTTGAACGTTTTATCATCGCCGTGATCAGTGTAAGATAAATATTTCACGCCATGTAAGTCTTTAGATCTCGCGAACATTTCTATCGCTCCGTCCACTTCCATTTTTCCCGTGCTTCCTTCATGGTCGATGGAACACTCATTTTTATGTGATTCTTTCCATGTTTCATATTCTTCTATATCCAAATTTTGGCTCGAATGGTCGCACTGTTCGCAGTACAACGACTTGATATTTACATCTATTATTTGTCCAGAGTAATGACCAATTAACGTTACAACTCCATGTAAAGATGAAAAACCTCGTTTCATCCAGGTTCCATTTCCTGAAACTGTAAGACCTGCCGGCTCTGTTCTTTCTGCATTTGTCGTCAATTGTTTCTCTTCAACGGCTGCCTCGGAAAATGTTGTATCAGCTACAGTCTTCGTCGCGCAATAAATATTTGTCAGAATTTCGTAATATACCTCCTTTCTGAAAATGTTTGGAAAATCCATGATACCGCAAAATTTTTTCGCGCCTTCGTAACCAACACCAAGAAGTCTCATTGCAAAAACAAATCGTCTATTTATTTCATACGCGTGATCGATAAGCGGACAACAATTTATATATCGCGGTTCACATTTATCACATGTGATGACTAATTTGAATCCAAGTCCGCGAATGGTTGCTTCTCTGAATGAAATATTTCCGTTGCATGATTTGCATTTTATCATGTCACTGAGAGTTGAAAATAATGTTGAAGAGTTTATTATGCGGTATCCATGATCTGCGTCTATTGGCACATCCACTAAACTTATTTTTAACTTTTTCGAGGAGGCACTACTAGTACGTGCCATTTCGCGCTCGATCATATAACGATTCAGTAGTTTTTTCTTTTTCGGTCGACTGCGTCCTTCTATTTCCCGCGAACCTTTCCTAACAATTAACGCTTCATTGTTTGAACGAATTGAATATTGGAAGACGCAAAGACGATGTGATACAGACATCAACTGACTACAGACGTTACAACTTCAAACGTTTTGACCTGAAGAAGGTCGCTAGTGAAAATAACCGGTAAATACAGAATAATAAATAATAGACAGCTCTGTCTGTTACTTATTATTATGCTCGAAAACAGCGATAGCTAAGGAGAAGAATTATATAGTGCGTCTCTTTCAAGTGCTATAACTCGGGAAATAATTAGAATCCGACTGAAATTTTTGCCGAAATTGAACCAAAACACTCGGCTACATGTCAATTTCAACCGAAACCAAAATTAAAAAATAGAAATTCTATAAAGCCCATGCATATATGTATAGACATGCCCATATATCATATATTTTTTCTTGATAAATATCATAATTTATTGAAACAATAATTAAATTTTAGCCGAAATCGAAAACTGAAATTTTGATTGTGTGTCAATTTTGACCAAAGAATATATATAAGTACTTTTTCTTCATAAACATCATAATTTAATTATTGAAAAACAATAATTACACATATTAAAATTAATATTTATGAAGAAGAGCTATATGGTTTTAGTTAGAACCAAAGACATATACTACGTTTACACGGCACGCTTTACGCTGAAGTTATAACATCGATGTTATGAAACTGGCCAATCATAGCTGTTCCTCTGAAGAATGAAATGACTGTGATTGGCCAATTTCATACATCGATGTTATAACTTCGGCGAAAAGCGTGCCGTGTAAACGTAGTAATAGAGAATGGACTGCGCGATTCGTGTGTGAAAATGGTCGATAGGGATGAGAGAGAGGGACTGTGGCAGACAGCCATTTCTACCTCTTTCCATTCAATGGTGTAATGGGAGAGAGAATGAGATGGAGATTGGCCGTCTCCCACGGCCCCTCTCTCTCATTATTGACTACGTTCAGCAGACTCAACAGTTTTGCAACCGTTTTATGATTTTTTTCGCTCAGATTGGACTATTCCTTTAAAATTAAAAGTATAAACCAATCAGCGCGACGAATCATTAAACGGTTGCAAAACTGCTGAGGCTCAGTTTCACAATTGACGGTTAACTCTTAACCAAGGTTCAACTTATTCATCTCTTTTCAATTTCAGAATTGAGTCAGTTGTGAAACTAGGTCTGAGTCTGCTGAACACAGCCAGTGGCAAAACTAATGCGCACTCAGTGCACATTAAGGCTGTTGTACACTATTCTAATCTAAATATAAAAATGAGATATCTCAATTGATAAAATGCCCAAAATTTATTTTATCAAACAGCACAATAAAATGTATCGAATATTTCACGGTTTAATTCGTTCATATATTTTTATTAAACGTATATCTTTACGTCGATTTTTGTATTCCGGCTTTAAAGTGCACTGAGTTCGCACTAGTTATGCCAATGAAAAAGGCTATTAAATTTCTTTATTTACAAAAAGAAAAGATATATAATATTGCTAATAGTTTCTAAAAACTGAACAGCTTTATTCATATATAATAATAGATTGTTGTATGTATTATCTATTATAATAGATTATTATTTATTATTATCTATTATTATCTATTATTATCTATTATTATCTATTATTATCTATTATTATCTATTATTATCTATTATTATATAGATATTTTTTTTATAAATGAAATGTATTCTACATTTCATTTATGAAAACACACAGAAAACATACATGCAATAAATATTTATCAGATACGAAAGATAAGTCATTTGATCATACAAATTAAAAATTTATACGAGATTAATGAAATCAAATCTATTAAATAACTAGGTATAAATACAAATAAAATGCGGGATGTACAATATAATCACATAATATAATATTTATAACAAAACTATTCTCCTTCAATTAATTCGCTATATGTACTGTACATAGATACACATATAATTACATAGTGCTGATATACAAGATAAATATACGTTTAGGTTCTCTTAAGATTAGAAAAGTTTATGGTTTTTGATTCTTATTACTCGGTCCGCTGTCTTGATCGTCGCTTTGAAAAATCGTCGGCTGTGTCTTCTTGTAAGCAGGTGCTATCCAGTATGGTTCTTCTTCAGCTATCTTTGCATACTTCAGAATAGCTTCCCTGCGATCCTGATCGTCCTCTATCCGTTTGCTCAATCCGAGATTGCGTACGACATAAGAACTAAGAGTTCCTCCGGAGGATGCTACTCTACCACCCTGCCCTGAAGTGATAGGCAGATCTGGACGCCTCGATTTTACTGGATCGAGCCTATCCTTCTCCATCTGCTTGCGAACCGATTTGGGCCTAGTGGAACAGAGGAAGCGCATGAGTTGTGATTTGCTGAGTGGACATTATCTCGATATGCTTCATGTGCGTCTTGACGACGCATAGCTTGGCGCCCCTTAAACTCTTCTTGGAATCGTAATATACCTTGACTATGCCATTGCCACAGCCGACAAACACCTGATTCAATTTCGCATGCCATAGAGTTTTTATTACGTGTGAATTTGTCACGGGGATTTCTCTTACTAGATCAAATGTCTTACTGTCGTAGAACAGCACCCTGCCGGTCGTCTTTCCCTTATTCAGAGATTCCCCCGTGACGATCATCGAGTCATCCAGACTGAACATGCAATCCGTGGTATCATAACGTGAGTACAGTTCCTTAGCTTCGAATATTGGTACTTTGAACGCCCTTAAATCCCACAGTTTCAGAGTGTCGTCGCAAGCTCTACTTGCCAGCATTTGCCCGAGGTACGCGAAACTCAAGCTCGATACCTCGCTGGATTGTGTGTGCGCCCCTCGCAACACGAGAGACGGATTCACAAAATTCTTCCTGTAATCCCACATTTGAATTGAGCCGTCTATGCAGCCGCATGCAACAGCCGCGCCTTCCCGGCTGTATAGGCGCACGTCGTGGGAATAGTCTTCACGCCGTTTTGGGCTCTACACTTTATCTTTATTCCATATTCGGCAGGTGCTGTCAAGGACACTACAAAAAATTCTCACCAAGGCATCCTTCTTTGAATCTTTGATTGCGTCTGAAATAACAGGTAACGGAGGTATTGGAAGACCAATAAAATCATCATCGTCGTCCACCTCATCCTTTTTGGATTCCACAACTTCGTCGGATTTTTCTTGTTCGACCATGTTTACTTTATTGCTGTTGATAGTCTTGGTGATGTTCTTCATCATCTCCTGCACGTCGAAAGACTTGGCTTTCTTACCAAAGCCCGTGATGCCCATCAACTTCTGTATACTCTGGGTTTCCTCCTCGTCCTCCGGCCTGATCTCGTCCATTTTCTTTACATTATTTTCCTCGCGTTTCTTATCGAAAATGCCGAATCCGGAGCTAGAGATTTCGATGATTAATTAACTTTTTAAATATTAACCTTTTATTAAAAAATATTACCTTTCGGAAAAAAATTTTTTAATGGATATTAAAATAGAAATTTGAAATTTATTTAATAATTAGAAACGAAACATAATCCTGGTACTCGTTTTACTATCGAATTTTGTTATCGAACGCGTCACGGGTTGCATGAGCACCGTTACGTCAATGCAGTGTTCTATTTGTCGCAAATATTTGCAAAAGTCGGCGCGTCATGGTCATTCGGCACGCAACAAATGTGACACATTCGCTTGTATAAATAGAATACTGGACTGATGATTGCTAGCACTTAGTGTGCTCAACACTAGAACTATCGATTAATTGACGATTAATATATAATTTTTTTTATTTAAAGATAAATAAAAAATTGATTTATCTGTTTTGAAAAAGAATTTTATTAAAATTATAAAGATTGTGAATTCTAAATATGTTATATGACGTCTTTGAGATTTAATTTTAAGTTGTCTTTAATGTTTTAGAATCATCTTTTAGGTATTACTATATATTTCGATGATACCATTTAGATATAGTAATATATACGTACAAATGGAAAAAAAAATTAAAAATAGTTCAATAAATCGATATATCAATAATTTAACGTCCATATTTTTAATTACAACAATTTAATATCCATTAGTTGAAAATTTTATGTAGTTGATTATAACTACATAAAATTTTCAACTAATAAATATTAAATTGTCATTACAACTTATGCACGTTAAAACGACATAAAATTTTCAACTAATAAATATTAGATTGTCATTACAACTTATGCACGTCAAATTATTGACATATTGATTTAGCAAATAATTTTTAGCTCTTCGTTCTGTTTGTATACATGTATTACTATAATATATCTAAATTATGCATACACATATATATACATTATATATAATAAAAAATAAAACTGAATCAGTCGATGAGGTGACGCCTTTTAGAGCCAAACACAGGATATTGGTGTGAAAGATTTATTTTTCACACCAATATTTATGTTCATATAGATTCATCTCTAATAGGCCGTGATTCAACATTATTTAATTTATATTAATAAAATTGAAGTTTTTAAAAATGGCATAAAGTGTTACTCATCAAAAGAATCAATAGAAAGAAAAGAAGAAAGAAATAATATAACTTCATGCTATTTTTAAAAACTTTAATTCTATTTTTTAAATTTTATTTACAAAAGTAAAGTATTATAATTAAATTTAAGTTTAATTAGGACCAAGTTAAATTAACTGATGCAGTTGATTTTATTTAATTTCATTTACAAAAGTAAAGGATTGTAATTAAATTTAAGTTTAATTAGGACCAAGTTAAATTAACTGATGCAGTTAATTTTATTTTTTACAAATTCGCTAAAATAAAAAAAATATCAAAAAGCGATAAAGTATCAAGAGAATATAAGCTGCAAAAATTCTTTTATTGAATATCAAAATATTGTTCAATGAAATCGTATATTCTAATTTACATGTCTTCTTAAAATATTATTCAATAAAATCGTATTCTATTTTTAGTTACATGAATTTTTTAGATTATATATAACATCAATACCTTTCACATTTCCATTTACTTGTATTTATAAAAAATATATTATCAGTTGTATATATGTTAATTAACAAAATAATATTAATTTTTATTGAATACATGTATGTACATTTAAAGAATGAAATCGCACACGCACAGCTTAAATAAACATAATTAATATATTCTATTGTATTGTAATTTCGACAATGACTCATTCGACATCAAGGAGTGTGCACATTTTCTTGATCGAAGGGAATATTACTTTTATTGCCGGGTAATGACATAGGTATGACGTTAATTAACAAAATAATATTAATTTTTATTGAATACATGTATGTACAGGGTGTTACAGATGCATACGAGGCAGTATGCATCTATAACGACGGGTTGCGCGGCAAACTTTACATGGCCAAGCGTGGTTTAATAAACTAAATAGACAATGACAGTGACTTTATAACATAAACTTTATAATATAAATAATAAAACTTTATAGTATAAACTTTAGAATGTATACAGTCACTGTCATTGTCTATTAAACCACGCTTGGCCATGCAAAGTTTACCGCGCAATCCGTCATACTGCCTAGTATGTATCTGTAACACCCTGTACATTTAAAGAATGAAATCGCACATGCTATACACGCATAGCTTAAATAAACATAATCAATATATTGTATCGTATTGTAATTTCAACGATTACTCATTCGGCATCAAGTAAAGGAGTGTGCACATTTTCTGGATCGAAGGGAATATTACTTATATTGCCGGGTAATGTCATAGGTATGACTTTAATACGAAACTCATATGGTAAAAAATCCTGACAGAAATGATAAAAGTCCATACGAGTATTGATAAGTTTTAAACGAGCCATTTCCTTCATCAGAGTCGTTAATTCGTTCTTATAATTTTCGTAATTCTTACGACGTTCAATAGTAGTTACTACCGTAGCTAATTCTTGCACGAATTTCTCGGATTTCACTCTCGTGGCCAGTTTGTACTTTGGCTCCAATCGTTTCCACAGAAACTTGTAAAGACGATCTGTAGCCCAATGTTTCGGACGAGGAAGTCTTGGTGGTCTATATACTTTTCCATTTACTAGAAATGCCTTATCCACTACTTTCGTAGAATTCATGAGCAGCTTCTTCTTCTTTGTATCTTGTTTAGGCATAAAAAATTTCACTGTTTCCTTTTTTACTGCAGATGCTTTCTTATCGGTCGAGTTTCTTTTCATCGCGGCCATCTCACGACTCTTTAGTTTCTCCAATTCCATTTTAATCTTCTTCATTTTTTCACTGTCGAAGCCTGGCGACTTTTGCGCGCGTTCGCTTAGTTGTTTCGCCGAAGTTTTTTTTATTTTGACGAAAAAATCATCTATTTTGTTCAATTTCTTAGATGAACTTTGCTTATTGGAAGAAATAAAACCAACTTCCTTATCAGACCTTGATTCGGATGAATGTACGTGTTCTACATCTATGTCAGCATGTGAATCGTTATTTGCATCTTGTATTATTACATTAGTACTTAATCTACCGATAGGCGATATTGCATTTGCACATGCGATTTCCTTCAAAGTTTTTTCCCTAATGGACTTGAGGTTGGAAATCTTTTCTTCTGACGATTTAGCAATTACACTCTTTCGAGAAACTGATTTTGATGCATTATTGAGATCGCCGTTTTCTAATAGTTTATTCTCGTCCTCCGATAATATATTAGCTTCCTTAGATCGACTTTTCTCGGCGTTTGATGACACCTCGAGAAATATTTCATAAGAACCTTCCTCATTCGTAGTACTACGCTTTCTTGATTGTGGATTTTTCTGTGTTGCTAAAGATTCACGTTCCTGATTAATCCTTGTAGTTTCTCGCTCAGAAGAAGCACGATTATCTTCAAATGAAACATTACTTCTTCTATCACTGATATGACCTTGCTTCAAAATTTCTTCGAACGGATTAGTTGAGCGCTTACGGAAACGTGTTAGAATTCTTGATTTTGGCTTAAAAAATATGGACTTTTTCGTTCCGCGGGATTCATCGTTATCAAAGGATGAGCTGCTCAAATTTGATTCAATATTATCTTTATCTTGCACCGATACATCTGATTGCTGCTTTTTAGATTTATTTAAAGACAATCTTGGACTTTTACGAATTGAAGATCTATGAATATTGTTTTCCTTATTTGGATTGGATGTAGATGAACTTGCGTTACTATCATAAGCTAGAACATCTGCAAACATATTTTTTCCTATGCTTTTCCGCGCTCGCTGCTTAAAGTGAGACATAAGTTTTAAATGTTGACGAGGTATAATGATGCTTTCATCGCTACTTTCAATCTCAACGTTATTCTCAGGCACTGCCTTCTTAACGTTTGGAGTTAACGAACCAGTTTCAATATCCTCGAGCGCTCTTATTGATTTTCTTTGATCGTCAATATGATCTTTACTCGTATTAATATTTCGATGCATCGAACGCTGCGAGGTTTCCTTTTCAAACGAGACTGATTTTTCCGCAGTACTGCCATTCAAAACATCATCTTCCAACGGTACATCCTGTAAGGCGGTCTGATCTTTCATACCTCCACTTTTTCTTGTTCTCAAAATACTTGTCATTGTTTGAGGCGATCTTATCGATTTCCTTTGATCGTCAATATGATCTTTACTCGTATTAATATTTCGATGCATCGAACGCTGCGAGGTTTCCTTTTCAGACGAGACTGATTTTTCCGCAGTACTGCCATTCAAAACATCATCTTCCAACGGTACATCCTGTAAGGCGGTCTGATCTTTCATACCTCCACTTTTTCTTGTTCTCAAAATACTTGTCATTGTTTGAGGCGATCTTATTGATTTCCTTTGATCGTCGATATGATCTTTACTCGTATTAATATTTTGGTACATCGAACGCTGCGAGGATTCCTTTTCAAACGCGACTGATGTTTTCGCAGTACTGGCATTCAAAACATTATCTTCCGTTAGTACATCCTGAAAGGCGTTCTGATCTTTCATACTATCTCCACCTCTTCTTGTTCTAAAAATATTTGGCTTTAATTTCGAAATCTTCGAAGTTGGACTTGAATTACTATCCTCTTCATTTTTCTGCGACCTTCCTTGCAAAGATTCACTGTCCGAATCGATATGTACTTCAGAGCGGACTTGTTTCGTCCGCGTTTTTAATGGCATAGTTGCCTCGGGATCATTCAAAGCATTTGCGAAAGCATTATTAATACTTTTCCTATTACTTGTTTTTAAACGAACCTTCTTCTTTCTTAAATTAAGCTCTTTCTCTGATTCAGATGTCTCGGATGTCGAAATTTGCAACATACGACTTTTAACTATTGCTAAAATAATAATATATCTTATAAGTACTACAATATCTATGATGCAAAATATCTATAATGCAAAACTCCATCTGCAATCATATAATATTTTTATTTCCTCCATCTAGCCAAAGTTCTTTTTACTGTTCTAGTCTTTCAAAAAATGTGAAAAAGTTCAAGGTTATTTTTCAACATCTCTATTACATTACCAAACAGTTTTTTAACAAGATATTTTAGGAGGAGGAACAGAACTCTGTTCTGTTTCAATTTGGAGAAATCTGAGTGAAATTTCGCTTGCGTCAAAAAAGATCCAGATTACAGACAAACAGTTGAAAGATTTATTCTTTTAGCTGAACTTTTTGCACAGTTCACCTTTTCTTTTTTACTCTTTAACTTGAAAAGAAAAAATGAAAAGATAAACCATGAAAGAAGTTCAAGAAAACTAAAAAGAATAAATTAAATATTCTGCCTATTTATACCTGCGCTGCGCCTCGAGCTTTTTGAAGCAATGGGTTCGGAATTAGAGTTCAAATTCTTCCACCATCCCGTAGGATCGGAACTCTGGCTAGAATCAATCCTTGAATTAGACCTCAGCATTCTAGGCGTTTCATTTGCACTGTGAATCATGGAATGCGGAGGGAACGTATTCTCTTCCAAGTTATTCCACCATAATGTTTGTTCTGCAGAAAGAAGAATGTGTTAAAATTATATTAAAACCATCTTCGACTTTTAATTTGTCTATAACAAAGGTAATGTCCTAAAATAAAGTCACTTATTTGCTACAATAACATAATTTAAGAAACAAAGTTTTCAGAAAATCAGTTTCAACATTTTAAATTATTAAAATGTTAGAATACTAAATTTGAAATATAATTTCAATGTAATAATTTATAATAATAATGTATAATAAATATAATAATTATAATAATTGTGGTGAAATAAAAGTGTATTCTTATAAAATACGTTGTTTATTTTCTTTATGTTTCTGTTGATCTTCTGCAAGTAACAAAAAAATGATAATTTTTAGTTATGTTGTTGTGGAAATGATGAAAGAAAAATATTCCTACCTTCATCCACGATGGATGTATCAGGATCGAGATGTCCAGAACCGATAGAATCGACGGATCTACGTTTGGTGTATCGTCGGGATACACGATTTAAAGATTTTCTCTTGGCCATGTTTATGAAGAAACGTTCTACGATGGAAAACAACTAGAGGTGCGTTCCTTATCACGCATGATGCGCATGATGCATCCATTGTCCTTGTTTAATATTTGCTGAGCAACAAGGATAAACGACGCATTATGCGTATCATGCGAGAAACGAAACGCACCCTACTAGGTTATCTCTTTACGTGATTATATGAGGGTTGGGTAGTGCCAAGTTAAAAAGCTAAAAGTTAAGTTAAAAAGTTGAAAAGTTAAATAATATGTATCATGCGAGAAACGAAACGCACCCTACTAGGTTATCTCTTTACGTGATTATATCAGGGTTGGGTAGTGCCAAGTTAAAAAGCTAAAAGTTAAGTTAAAAAGTTGAAAAGTTAAATAATTTTAACTTAACTTAGTTACATTTTAGACTCTTAACTTTTTAACTTTATTTAGTTACATTTTATCGATAACTATTAACTTTTTA